TTAAACCTCGAAAACGAATGGCCCACCCGAAAGTAACCGCCCTTTAAAGATTAATGTTCGACTACAATAAAAAACACCATAGCTGATAGATTTCATAAAACGTTTCCAGCAGTACTTCAGATCGATGAATAATGCGACCATTACTTTTATCCTTCAGCACTAACATTTGAGGCCTTTTTTGTTTACACAGTCTGTTTTGTTTATGGGGGTAGTTAGTAACATAATTTTTTATATGGCTAGCTCCGTGAGCAGGAAAGATTAATCAGATGCGGGCCTACTCTGGGGCCTTTTAAAAGTCGCCTTAAGTTGCCTTAAGTCGCCCAAGTCGCCTTGAGTCGCCTTAAGTCGCTTTCAGTTGCTATCAGTTACGCAATATTAAAAAGGTTTCTACACACACTCAAAGGTTTCCACACACACTCAAATTGCCCCTGTAGATTATTAGACGTAATAACTGTCCTGTTAAGGTAAACTCCACTCCAACCTTACGGAGGAAGAGGCACGGTTGCCTAATGATGGTTAGTGCAATGGATCCATTACATTGTGATCGTACTATCACAGTGCCTCTCCTCGCCCAGTTGTTTAAATGGGTTCTGGTTACTTAAGGGGAGTGCAGCAGAGGTAACCTCAATATATGCGCTTTTGATATTTTTACGCTCGTTCCCAATGCATTGGAACCATCTAAAACTCCTCTTAAAGGGCCCTAGTCAGCCACACCTTTGCTTTTCTTCACATACGAGAGTTGGCTATTATACTAAGTTTTATTCGGAGCATGTCGAAGCAAAGCAAATCACTTTGAAACTACTAAACATAAAGGAACATACTTTCAGGAACACAACTTACAGTGAAGCAATAAGATTTCTTCGCCATGCAATATCAATAATTTCGATTGCATCGAAAATGGCAGAGGCTGACTATGGTCCTTTGCCGTGTTATGCCTCAAAGCCACGGCTTCCTTATACATGAAAAACCTAATTTAGTAATAGTCCTGCGCCTGTCTAGCCCCCATATCAGCAGGAACAATTTCTGCATGTAGACAACACTTAAATAAGAATGCAATCTGATAACAAATAACTATACTGCGATAATTTCATTATTTTTTGTAAGCAATTACTGAATCAAAGCTTTCGAAGACCTACTGTGTATAAACAACAGTAAGAGGTGTCCCAGATCATCAAGATAAAAAGGCTCAATTCTTTCTAGTCACTTTTACACTGAGCAGTAAAAATATGGCCATCCAAAGTCAATTAAACCGAACTGAGGCCACACTTTAAATACTTTACTTACCCAGCGTAAAAGAGTGCCAAAAGTGGGCCAATTCTCCAACACAAATCATTATTTGCATTTTACTTCCATATTCGACGAACTGTAAACGTTTGAAATTCGTAACTGGACGAACCAACTTGCAGCATAATGTTGACCGTTAAATTCTTTTGTTTATTTGATGAAAGCAGGTATTCACATCATCTTATTCACTTTAGGTGGACTGCGCTTTGAGAAGACTCTGTGATCAACATGGCCGCCAGGCCAATATTTGGAACACGTGACTTAGTTTGGTCCACTAACTAAAGAGAACGCGAGCTCACGGGAGTATGATTACTACGACAGACGTTAAGAAAAAGCAAGAAACAAAACAAATCGCCAAAGTAATTCTCTCTGAAAGTTGAATTGGATGGTTTAAAATAAATGTACAATCGGGTCGGAACGCTTAGCAGGAAAACTCGAAGCTGGAAGGGATATAAACTCGTCATGGAACCAGTTAGCGACGCAAGGGTTACTAACGTAAGCTAACCGAAACGCTACTCAGGCTAACCGGAGTACTGTTTAGGCTAACCAAAGTGGTATTCAGGCTAACTGGAGTGCTGTTAAGGCTAACCAAAGTGGTATTTAGGCTAACTAGAGTGCTGTTTAGGCTAACCAAAGTGATATTCAGGCTAACTGCAATGCTGTTCAGGCTAACCAAAGTGTATTTAGGCTAACCGGAGTGCCGTTAAGTGGTATTAAGGCTAACTTGAGTGCTGTTTAGGTTACCCAATGTGGTATTTAGGCTAACCAGAGTGCTGCTCAGGCTAACCAAAATGATATTTAGGCTAACTAGAGTGCTGTTTACGCTAACCAAAGTGATATTCAGGCTAACTAGAGTGTTGTTTAGGCTAACCAAAATGGTATACAGGCTAACTGGAGTGCTGTTTAGGCTAACTAAAGTGGTATTCAGGCTAATTAACTGGAGTGCTGTTCAGGATAACCAAAGTGGTATTCAGGTTAACTGGAGTGCTGTTCAGGCTAACCAAAGTGGTATTCAGGCTAACTGGAGTGATGGTTAGGCTAACCAATGCACACTAGTATTCAGGCTAACTGGAGTGCTGCTTACGCTAACCAAAGTAGTATTCAGGCTAACCGGAGTGCTGCTTAGGCTGACCAAAGTAGTATTTAGGCTAACTGGAGTGCTGTTCAGGATAACCAAAGTGGTATTTAGGCTAACTGGAGTGCTGTTTAGGCTAACCAAAGTGGTATTTAGGCTAACCGGAGAACATTTTAGTGTAGTGCAATTCCTCTCTTTAGCCGCAATTAGTTTATCTGGTTTCTAGTGTTTCGTTGTGAATATTTCGTTCTGGATATTTGTAATGTGCCAGGTGGAAACTAGTGAAAGCTTGGTAGGCATATTTCCTGATGGTTTGGTAAAAAAAAACTTATAAAAAGATTCGATTCACTATATAAACCGGGTTGTCAAAGTTTTCCGGAGCCAGACAGGTAGGCAATCAATCAATCAATCAAGCAGTAGTTGGTGAAATTTGAAAGGAAATGTTCTCACGAAGGACCTTAGCATGCGTTACTCATTTGGTATTGGAACATTTTCTCTGACTGAGGCAGGAGAGCAGCAAATCGATTGGGTCCCTGAAAAGGACTGAGCGACTTCAGAAAGACCTACCATTTGCTAAACTCCCCTGCCAAACTTTACAGTTGAGATGTCAAAAATGTCGCAGAGCAGCTGAAGTCTACCAAGACGACCATTCTTATAATTTGGAAAGCATTGTAACATAAATGCATGTAAATACGCTAAATTAATTTTGATATCCCTGCTGTTTAACTTATAGAAAATATATCAATATTTTTAATTTAATCAAGCTAAATCATGTCTTTCTTTCTTAAATTTAAACTTTTGTCACTGGGAATATATTTTTTGATAGTTTAGTTTGATGTTGGTTTTTATTATGATATCTTCACTAACATTCATACTACCTTGCTGGTATTTATTCTTATTACTGTTCGTATATTAATAATAGTAAATGTTCAGTGTTGTGGTAATTTTATCCTCAATAGAATCTGGATATTTGAGACTATGGTGACTGAAACATATGTGAATACAAAAGTAAACAAATGATTGGTACAATATACAGTAAAACATGATTCGAACCTCCAAGGGAAACGAAAATTGGTTCGAAAAATTGGAGAGTTCGAGAAATCGGGGGTAAAATTACACTGTTCGACTGAGGACAGGGAAACGACTTCTGGTTCGAGTTATCCAGAGGTTCAAAAAATGAGGGTTTGAAAAATCGGGATTCCCCTGTAGGTTTATTGCAAGAGAAATCGACCGAAATCTCGGTCGTAAAACCCGAGATCTCGGTAACCGGGCCAGCCTGGCCAAATCGAAAATATTTACAAATCGAAATATTTACGAAGGAAAGAGAAGCAAGGCGAGATCTCGGAAACCGAGCCAGCCCGGTTGACCGGGCTCATATGAAAAGGCCCTTAAAGACGGCGACTTAAGGTCCCAGAGTAGGCTTAAATGTTGTGCTGTGATTGGCTACCCGAGCGGGCAAGAGGATGATCTTGCCCGCTCGGCAATACCCGCTGCGTTCAGCAAGAAAAATTTCCCCAAAAGCCACATAATAAATTGTTTTTGACCAGGCTTGTTCGGTGAAGATGGCTGGATATTGCCGTTGTTCGTATTTTTGCGAGTTTATGGACCGCGACTTCATCTCGGTCCAGGCCTTATCACGCAAAAAAAAAGAAGTTGGTCAATATCCAGCCATATTGACCTCACGCTTGGTCGAACCAATATGTACATAAACGGAATTGTTAACTTCGTGTTATGCGTCGGCTTTGTCTGGAGGTCTATGAATTACTGTACAAACGTTTTTTAACCAACCGAAAGTAACGGCTACCCGAGAGTTTCGACCCCTTTTGCCAGCTTATTCCGAAAGTAACTGGGGGCGTTACTTTCGGAATTGTACGGTAACATCAGCCAAGCGCTTACGAATTGGATACGTTGCTCCGCATAGCTGACAAGGATTGTTTCCGCCATCTTGTTAAGTTCGCAAGGTGATGACACTTAGTCATAGTCATAGCAATTTTTTTTGACAATTCTCTCCAAGGGATAAAGGTGTAGTGAGGTAAACCCTATGTGAAGCACCAACCCGTGAAACAAGGCCAGAGCACAACACCGGGAATTACGTGCCCTACTCTTTTCGATAAGTGTTTGGGTTCTTTAACGTTCCCTGCTAACCATGTAACACTGAAGATGCAGGAGACGGGGCCTACAGTTTATAGTCTTTATCTAAGAAGACTTGAACGTCTACTCATTTGCAGTTGTAATTGCAAAGGAACAACATGTATCTTTTTGCGCCTCTAGTGGTTAGGGTAGAGTTCGACCTGCTTGAAAACGGCAGGACTCGAACGAGGTTCATCTACTCAGTTCGAGCAATTAAGAAATTACACTGCTCGTGATATTTGAAAATTCTTTCAAATTGCACTCACCCAAAAAGCGTATGCAATTTTGCGAGTATTTTAAAATATCACGAGTAGTGTAAATCCTTAACTCAACTCTGTACAGTGAGCCAAAAACGTTCGACAAATTGAACAAATCGTATTCTTTATTCAATATCTTACCACCTGAAATATTTACAGCAAGGCAGCTCACTATATCTCATTTAAAAGAGCACAAAACGTACTTTCCAGAAAAAAACAAAACAAAACAAAACAAAACAAACATAGTTTATGTCGTGTGATCCCCAGTGAATAGTAACTGTCAGCTGTGCTTGAGTGTTTTTCTCCAAACAGTTTACGCCTGATATCCAGTGCACGCTGTGTAGACTAAAGAGCTGAGGAAAAGTCGCCCAAGTTATGTTGATTGTCCCAAAGTGAATGGTAACTGTCAGCTGTGCTTGAGTGTTCTTCTCCAAACAGTTTACCCCTGATATCCAGTGCGC